TTAATTCTAAAATATTTAAAGGAATAGCAGCAAATTTTTATTTCAAGACTTAGCCACTGACAGCATGTACCAAGGGTTTACATGAAGTGAGTGTGGTGAACAGACATGCTCCACACAGCTCTGGAGCCGAAGCTTTCAGACAGCCAACACAACCTTGGCCACTCCCCGCCTCACTGTCACCTAGTTGGCCATGTGCCTAGACTCTCTGGTGACATGATTTTATAGTCAGGTACAGTCGGAGTGGGACAGAAACCACAGCCCTGTGTGTTCAGATAGCCAGCGCGCCACACAGCTGGCCCGCATCTGAAGTAACAGGTGCACGGGTTACACATGTTGACTGACTTTGCCCCTCACAAGATGTTCATTGTGGTACTTTGAATTGGACATAGCTGAGAACATGTCGTTTTTATTAGTGGAGTCTTTAAAATACATATGAAAGTATCCCTAAACAGGATCAGGATGGGACACGGGCAGAAGCTCAGTGTGCCTCACTTCTTGCGGTGTCATAGTTCTAAGCTCATGTGACCCCTAATAGCCCTGCCTCAGAGCTGAGAGGGGAGGCAGGATCTTTCAGGAAGATGGCTATAGCTCCCCAACCAGCAGCACCAGCCCTCTTCAGATCATCTTTACAGGATGGCCTGTCCGGCACTCTTGTCCAGCAGCTTGTTGGACTCTGCTAATTTGGCGTCTAGGAGGCCTAGGCCAGCCTTGCCTTGTACAGCCTTCTGTCATCTGGGAAGGGGCTCACCCTGCAGGTGAGATCTGGCTCTACCTGAGCACAGGCCTCAGAGCGGCATAGCCACCAGCCAGCTTTGTTGGGATACTTTGACTAGTGCTGCCTTGCCCTCACTGGAGTTAGGACCTGTGCCTGTGGCAGGGACACCTGTAGCAGAGTACCGCAGGAAGGACAGCAAGAAGGTGTCTTGGGAAAGGCAAGACAGAGGCGCTCCATGGAAGGAGTGCCAGGGTAGCCAGTTTGTGATGGTCCCGCCCTGACCCCCTGTTCTGGGTGCCGGAGAAGCTGACACCAGCAGGCAGATGATAACTCCTCCTGCCCTGGGGTCAGCTTTTCCTGCAGGCAGGTGCCATGCCTTCCACCCCACCGCACACTGAATAGAAACCCAATCCCGGGGTTGGGCTCTGAAGACAGTGGAAGGAAAGGTTCAGCTTTGTGGCCTTAGACGGGAGCCTTGTGTCCTCATTTGTAACATGGGAATGACGTTAATCCACAGTGGAGCTGCTGAATAAGTAGTAAATGATTGGCAGCGCCTGGCACACACAAATCTTAATGAGGGTGCTATAATTACACTTCACCCACACTGAGGTCAGCGAGTCAGTGCCTGCAATGTGCAATACTCGTTAAACAAAATGGGTAAAACTGACCGTGCCCCACCTCAGGGAGCACCAACCAACAGACAGGCAGCACGGAGAAAGTGCGCCCTGCTCATAAACCACCCTTGCTCTGTGCTTGCCTTGCTCCAGTGTCTGAAGCCTTGGCAATAGAAGAGTTCAAGTTGGCTGTGTGCAGCTGCAGAGCAGCCAGTGCCTGTACAGTGAGGGCTTGGTGGGTAGGGATGGCCACACAGATTGCACACACACACATTGCTCTCCTGTGCCACAAGCACTCCTTGGACTCCGGTGGAATCCCACCAAGCCTGCAGCCCAGGTACAAGTTCAATTCAAATGTGTGGTGTTCCTTAGCAATATTACACAGAAAGAAGTGGGCACCCCAAAGGGCAAACTCTTCTTTGGCAGGAAACTCGGAGCCCAGCTAATGGCAGATGGGGAGCTATGGCTGAGTGCTAAACCAGGAGAGCAGCTGCTGGGTCTCAAGTAGCACTTACTCATCATGGCAGGCTTGGAGCCCCAGTCCTGCCACACAGCAGCCACTTCTGTGCCTTTCAAAGAAGGCTCAGCCTGGCTTTTTCTGCAAGAAAGCAACTTATTGCAGTAGGCTGAGTGAGCAAGAAGCTGTGCCGTCAGCTAAGACCAGAACACCAAAGACCAGGAGTGGGGACCAAGGAGGCCATGTCAGATGACACAACTCCTCCTCCTTTCCTCCCCCTCCTCCCTCTCCTCCTCTTCCTCTTTGAAGGTTGTCTTGTACCAAATGATGCTAGCTCTCTGGTTGTTGGCTCGCCTTGCTCACTCCACCGCTGCACTTTCGGGCATATCCTATCCCTTAGCCCCCTCTCTGGCCTTCATTACATCTTTATCCTCTATGACAAAGCATGTATTGCAGACTTAAGCGCCGCCACTTTGGTGGTTGCGTTTGGCCCTGTGAGAGAAGAGGAAAGAAGAGCTCCCACTGCCTGGTGCGGAAGGCAGCAAGAAGCTACATAGCTTCTGCCAAGCTCTGTGGACAGGGCTGCTGGCATGCTTTGAGCATGTCTCTCTCCTGCAGATTACCCCTTATCTGCTGCTCAGACACCGGCCTGAAAGCAGTCAGCAGCAACTGGGGACAAAACTTATTGTCAAAGTCTCTTTCTTGTGAGGTAATATAAGCACCAAGGGGAGGGTATGCCTCATCAGTGGTACATAGGAGATGGAAGTCAGCCCTCAGGCAAGGGTCAGGGAAGGGCAGGTGCATCCACAGAACCAGAAGGCCAGCAACCTGGTGGTCCCTGTACTTCCCAACTACCACAGGGTCCCAGGCAGTGCTGCCCACTGCGCGGCCATCGGCCCTTCCTAGACTGAGGAAGGATGCCTCCACTCCCCTGCTAGTTCCACTCTGCCTGTTCTCAGACAGATGATAACCGTGATGGAGCATATGGCCTCAAAGTCACCAGGCATTCTGGGAAAGTGACACTGTGTTACCCTGGGCTTGGGGGGAGGGGCCCACGCTCCTGAGCACAGCTTCTGTCTTTGTTCTTCAGAAGGGCGCAAGGTCGCCTCTTCCCAAGTCCAGAAAAGAGCATGCACGGGAATTCTGAAGAGTGCTCTCTATCTAGGCAGCCATCGTTAAAGCAGGCAGAGGCTGAGCAGGAAAACATACTGAAGCCAAAATGGAGTCCTTCTTGTCTCAGCCCCACCCAGGCCTGTGCCACCCTCAGACACCATCACTCCCCACCCAGCCTGCCTTCAATACCCCTTTCTTAGGGTCCTGAACTCATACCTGGACCCCCCCCAGAGTTCTATGAGAAATAATAGGATACCATCCAAGCTTTAGGCATGGGCCTGGGCATTCAACTGGCACCAGCTCTCAGAGAGTTTTCTTACCATAATCAGCCAGGCAGGAAAGGCTTGGGTACTGCTTTCTTCCTCCTCATGCCCAAGCTCCAGCTGATCCTGGTAGGTGCTGGGGTCAGGACCCAGTAGACCCTCCCAGCCATGGGGGATGTGATGAAGTTGTTGCTGGACACAGGGGTCCTTAGAGCCCAGTGCCAGGGCCTGGCTGTTTGCCAGGGCCACAGGCCACAGCCAGGTATACTGGAAAAGTACTCAAAGCCTGTGAGCCAGCAGGGACAGAGAGCAAGAGCGAGGCTCTGCCAACTAGTGAGGAGCAGGAAAGAAGGCAGCTGGGGGGTGCAGGAGCTTAGGGGTGAACATCAAGGATCCTTCTTCTCCCCATCCTTCCCATTCACTGTAACTCCCCAGGGCCTGGTTTTCATGGGGGCTACAAAGTTTCTACTGAAAGCCTTTGGTCAAATAAGCTACTTAGTGAATGGAATAATGCTTTCCAGTCTCATTCCCTGTTGTGGCTCTGACAGTCCTGTGGCTTGTCCTTGATTGCTCCTGGCCTTCCTTGGAACACCCCACCCCACCCCAGACACCCTGAGATTGGGAGTGTTGTGCTTAAGATAACCTGGCCTATCTGGAGCCGGGGATGGACCATGTGGAAACACTGGCCCCTCTTAAGTCGGCCTGGCCCTCTGCCCTGAACCCCTCAGCTCTCCTCTTGCTAGCCACCTCCTCCTGGAGCCTGGTGTCTGTCCTTCATTTGCAGACTGTGGCTCACTTACAGGGGAGCAGGAGACAAAGGAAGGAACTAACAGGGATTGACGACACCTCTGACAAGATGATCCTTTGCTCTCTGGGCAGCAACTGGACCGGAAAGCTGGCCACCCTGGGGCCAGGCCTGAGCTTAGTAACTATGGCTTGAAGCTCAGCTGAGAGAGGACCAAGCAGAGCATGAAGCTAAGGCAAGCTACACCTTCAAAAAGCTTCCTAGAGAAGGTCGCAGACACTTCCCTGGCCAGTGCCAGGCTAAAGCAGGTCACAGCCAACCTCAGACCTCAGCCATCTAGGCTGGGAAATGGACATGATCCTGCCCTTCTTTTCAGAACAAGCTTATGTGTGAGTGTGTGCCTGTGTGTATGTGCATGTGTAGATCAGAGGACAACCTTGCAGAGTCAGTTCTCTCTAACACCGTGTGGGCCGCAGAGATCAAATACAGGTCTCCAGGCCCTGTTGAAACATCTCAAAGACCCTAGCCTTCCCTCTTACCATATAGGGTCCCTGAAAAAAAAAAAAGTTGAATCCAGACTAGAAAACACCTTGGAATGCATACTGACATGCCTAGCTGTCTTTTTGTTTAACCTGCTTGTCTGTCTCTTGGTTTTTTGGTGGGGAGGGGGGTTGTTTGGTTGGTTTGCGTTTTTGAAACACAGTTTCTTTGTATGCTTGGCTGTCCTGGAACTCACTCTGTAGACCAGACTGCCAGGCTGGCCTCCAGCTCACAGAGATCTGCCTGCCTCTGCCTCCGGAGTGCTAGAATCACAGGCGTCTGCCACCATCACCAGGCATCTGTCTGTCTTTTCCTAACAAAGCCCGAAGTAGCTCTGGTAGCCTATGGATGTTTTTGAAGTTCTGATTCTCCTCCCTCGGCCTCTTAAGTTCCAGGATCACGGCCACACGCCAGCACGCCTGGCTTATCTGGTTCTGGGGGTGAAACCCAGAGCTTTGCATGAGCTAGGCAAGTGCTCTGCCCGCCGAGCACTTCCCTCTGCCCCAGGCACCTAGCCTGGGGTCTGCAGTCCCACCTGCTGCTCTTCCCACAGGGGCATCCGTTCATCGTGCAGTTCAATGATGGGAACGCCACCGTGGTGTCCATGTGGGTATGCAGAGCGCTAGAGGAGAGGCGGAGCCACCAGGGTCCCCCATGAGACTGGACACTGACCATGCGGACCAGTCACCAACGACACGCCGTGACCCCTCTCCGTCTGCTGCCTGTGAAGAGCTGAGCTGGGCCCAGGCTCCTGTTTCCACTTCCAACCCTATGTAGAGCTCTCAAGAGAGGCAGCCTCTGCCGAGCCCCTCACCCTGGGGGGGAGGTGGTGCAGAGAGTGTAGGGGAGCATGATGGGGTTATAAGAATGGAAACTCCTCTGGCCCCATCCCCTTCTATTTCCTCCTGTTCGTTGTGAGGGTCAGGCCCTGTCAGCAGCACTGATGGGAATAAAAGTATTACTGCTTTGGATCGTGTTTGTTTGATGCGTCTGCTGTACGCATCCCCACTCAACAGGGATGCCTGCAAGGTCCTGTGCATTTCCTGGAGCTCGGCGTTGAGGCCGTGCCCCCGCTCAGTTGTCACCTGAGGCATACAGGTGCCTGCACCAGGCTCCAGGGCAAGGTGGAGTGAGGCCGGTCCAGACCCCAAAGCTCAGGTCGTAGTGTCGTAGTGTCGTCCTCTCCTGGACTGGAGCTGGCTGCAGCCCAGCCCCAAACCAGCACTAACCCTTGCTGTGGCCTGGGGCGGCTGAGGAGGAAGCAGGAGGCCAAGGGTGACTTGCAGGAATTCAGAGGCCCTCAACCCCCACCCCCACCCCGCACACCACTCCCAGCTCCTCTCTCGCCCTGTGACCCTGCCCAGCACTCCTCTCTTGACCCAGGCTACTGATGGCCACTTGAAGTAGTCTGGGCAAGCTGGCCAGCTAGTCCGGCCTAATTGGTAGACTCCAGGCTCATCCGGAGAGCCTACCTCGGTAAATAAATAAAGTGAAGTGGCGTCAGAGAAGACAACTTGTGACCACACACATGATGCATGCCTGCATGCACAGTTGCCCACATACGTGTGAATGGGCATGAATGTGGGTAATACTCAGGGAGAGTGGGGGGAGACAGGCCACAGATCTACCAACACCTTCGCAACGCTGGGTGATGATTGCCCACTTCAGTTCCTGCTGCTTCCAGTTCTGTTTCTGCTGCAGCCACCCCAGGCCAAAGCAAAAGCCCCCACGAGTTCCCCATCCCCTCCTTCATAGGGAGGTGGAGCTCAGAGGCCGCTGCCTGTTCAGAGACTACATCAGAAGACCCCTGTGGAAAGGGGGCCATGTGGTTAGAGATCAGTACAGTGAAGAGGGCCAAAAAACTTCACTTTAAGATTCTGCCCATCTCCATTCTTTTGATAAAGGAGATGGAAGTTGGAGAGTCGTGGAAGGATTGGAACCTCAAATTCACCTGCAATGGGATGTTAAACGAGCTGGGGCTGGCTGTCTGCTTGGGCTCTCGTGTTACCAGCAGTATGACGGCAACCCCAGCTGACCTTTGTCCAGCATGCCGGGCACTGTCACCACTGTCTGCACAACCCATTTCATCTTGCAGATCTTCACTCAAATGGCCTCTCAGAAGACCTACCACCCACGCCACTGGAACGCGCAGCCTCCCATTCTGGCTCCAGGGCCTCCCAGGCAAGACATCCTGCCTTGGTCAATAAAGTGGACAGAGGTCAAGGATGATGCCCGGCATCAACTTTTGTCCTCCACAGGCACGTGCTTCCAGGACCCAGGGTCCCCTAGCCTGTACCAGTTCCCGCCCTCTCTTCTGTAACCGACAAAGCCATTCTCTATTTACACCTTCCCATCCTCCCTTAGAATGGAAGCTTCACCCCCTGCAGGCTCGGGCCTGCTTTTCACAGACCTAGAAAAAGCCATGGCTGGGGGGGGGGGGGGAGCTCATGACAAACATTTGTTGGCCAAATGGCCACCATGGTGGGACCATCATTCATAACCTATGCTCTGTCCAGTGCCCCGTGGAAGGGACTTCTGTGTGAAGTTTCATTGTCCTTCCAGGGAGAGGCTGTGTGGTGACAAGGCCAGCCTGCAGCTGGCCCAGACCTCAGCAGTGTTTATCTCAGTCATAGAAATTCTCAGACTTCTCAGAAGGACCGTGTCCCCTAGACCAGTACTCAGGGCAAGATCTGTAAGCAGTGCATGGGGTAGGCCTTCCTGACGAGAGGGTCTGGAGGAAGGGGACCTGACCCTGACCACCCCAAAACCTGAACTAGCCACAACCAGGCCTAAGGCTCTGCCTCCTTCTTTGAAGATGCATCAACCATGATTTGTCCCCAGAGTCCAGCTCGGCAGAGGTGAGTGGGAGGGTCTGTTACTGGTCTTGTAGGGGTGGGGGTAAGAGGGGTTTGTATCGTCTGGTGGCCTCCAAATCACTATGCAGGTAAAGATGACCTTCAACCTCCAGCACTCCTGTCTGCACACTGGGAATCCATCCAGAATGTGGAGAATTACAGGACGGACTACCACACCCACCATTCCATAGTGCTGGGAATCGAACCCAGGGCCGCAGGCCTGCCAGGCAGGCAAACACTCTGCAAAAAGAGCTATATCCTCGTCTTCCAACTCAGAAAGGGAGTGGGGAAGGAGAGCTGTCATCCTAAACCAGCTTGTGCGCATCTTTATTGTCAACCTGCTCACTTTCCTCCACGACCCCCGAGATAGAGGTGGTGCTGTTCTGCCCGTTCACAGATGGAGACGCAGAATCACGGAGGCACAACAACTTGCCCAGGGTCGTTCAAGTAAGAGAAGATTACTGCTTAGCACCAGAGCCCCCTCTTAGCTTATGTTCCAAGCACAGCTCCAGCGCTGCACCCCACACTCCAGCACAAAGGCCCCCAAACTCTGACATGCAAACACAGTGTACTTTGCCTTCCGTGGCACTGCTTTGGGCAAAGCCTCTGAGCCATACCTGGAGGCCAGCCCCAGACAGATGTCCTGGACTTCAGTTTCCCTTACTGTGGCTGTGAAGTAACTGGGCTCTGGAGTCTTGGCCAGCCTCTCAGGCCTCCTGAACAGCTTCTTGTGGCTTGAACCATGGTCTCCTGTGAGCATCCCCATAGGAATAACAAGCACCCGCCTGCATGCACACATACCTGTGTTACACTTCCACATGCATGCATGCCTGCACGAACCAGTCTACACGCACACATACACGCACGAACCAGTCTACACACACACATGCAGTTCTATTCATGGTTTATGGTTCTCAGGGCTCTGAACCCCAGAGTCCATGGTCCTATGCTTTGGTGCAATCCCAATCATAACAAGTCGGAGTGAGGGAAAAGGTCAGAGAAGGAGGCTATGGGGAGGGAGAGCAGAGACTCTGTCCCAAGGTTCAAAGAACAGGTGCAGGAGCAGTGTAAGCTCACAGCAGCGCATGCAGGGTCCTGATTTCATTCTTGGGATCAAGAGGGCCCCTGAGACTGGTCCTGGACCAAGTCCACATTGAGGGCATCAGAGGTTTTCATTTCATGCAGCTGTAAAGTTTCATCTAAAGGGGGAGGGCTCTACCAAGGGAGACAGAGGCCAGGGTCAGGGCCAGGCACTGTGGCAAGATAAAGAGCCCTAAGAAGGCAGCAGGGAGGGCTGACCAGTAGAAACGGCCAGCATCTTAGGACGCAGGCCCTAAGTCTGGTCCCTGTGGATGGGGCCAGGCTGCTAGTTGTGTGATATAGGAGGAGGCCAGCGTGCTTCCATGGCAATACCGGGTTGCAGTGGCACTGGCTTGATCAGCCTCTTCCTTGACAATTATTACATCTTTGTTATACTAGAGAAGCCTGTAAACTGGCAGGCTGGAAGGAGAAGGTGGGAACTGGCAGGGGTGAGGCCATCTGGGGAGACCAGGTGAGGTCCCACAGAAGGCCTGGACTATCACGGGCCACAGAGGGCACCGATAATGTGGGACAGGGAAACCAGCAGAGCCAAGTCTCATAATGACAAATTTTCTGCTGAACAACCACAAATATTCGCTGTGACTTTGGACACAGTCTGGGAAAGACTTTGTTTCCTCCCTTGGCGGGATCATTTGTCTTGTTTTGAAGCCCCAAGATTGCAAGCGGGAACTTACAGACCAAAGTTTGTCTTAATTGCCGTGGTGTCACCGCCTCTCTGGCAGATAACAACACAATGAACGAGTCGATGGGGCTGAGCCCTCCAGGTCCTTCTTCTAAAGTGAGACAAATGTCCCTGCTTTGAGCCCAACAGTCCATCGGCAGCTCTGTCATTTATCTATCTCCCTAACAGCTTGCATTAACTTGCAGGGGATAAAAAGTCTCTCCTGCCCGCAGACTTAGTTAAGGCAGCCAGCCTCACTGTGCTACTCGGCCCTCCTAGGAATTCATTCTACCTTTCCCCCGCTTCGGGGGCATGGGGGCCAGCAACAGCAATGGCCCACACATGGGAAAGAGAGACAGGTGGCAGGTGAAAATGGCCTGAGAAAGGGGCCAGGGAGCCATATAAACCACAGGACCTGAGCTAGGACCCCAGCACCCATGCAGAAGCCATGTACGGCTGCCACCCCAGCACCACAGAGACAGACAGACACAGGATCGGTACAGCCTGCTGGGGAACGGCAGATCCTGGGCTCAGGGAGAAATCTTTCTCGAGGGAACAAGGACAGCCAGTATCCTCCTGTCTCCACATACATGCACAGAACTTGTCACCTGCCCACACAGACGCACACAAGCATCACCAACATATGCACAATACACACAAAGAAAGGTTCTGAGGGAGGAGAAATCCCATCAGTCTTGTATTGTGGACAGAGTATGAAACCACCTTCCCCCTGGTCTGATTTGGTCCTTCTGGCTCCCTTGAGAGCCTGGGACAGCACCCCCACCTCCACATTTCCACCTCAAGACAGACGCTGTGCTTCCTGGCCGTGGCAAGCCCTTGCCTTGAGCTGCTCTGTCAGCCTGGGACAGTTTCCCTGTCTTCGTCCTCCAGTCCCTGCCACAGTGCAGTCCCTCTGGGGAGGCCTTGGCACCCACCGTCCTGTCTTACCCACAGGTAGAGGAGCCCTGTCCTGCTTCTCCCCACTAGCCATGAAGTTTTGTGCTTAGCTGCTTCCAAACCGGCCTGGAAGAGTGTCAGACTGGAGAAACTGAGGTTAGCTGCCGGTGGGCGATGTGGCTCGAGACTACATCTGTCCCTTCCCTACAGCCTCCCCAGAGATAGCGCGTGTGGGACCCTGGCGTGGCCAGCTGAGGCTGCTGCTCTGCCTAGCCACTAGCCTGCAGAGGCGCAGGCTGAGGACATGCTAGCTTGTTGTCGTCATATAGTGAGAATGGCTGCCACCGCAGCCACAGGCGAAGGACCTGTGTGCAGACAGCCAGGGAAGGCAACGGAGCTCAGAGGGAACAGTGCTTGCTGCCCGGCCCAACAACCCAGCTCAGTTCTCCAGAATC